CCACTATGGGAGGGGGCGGGGATCTAAAGACTTGTACACATTAAATCTTTGCGCGTGTATATATATATATACACACATGCACGTGCATATAACATATTTATGTATATCAAAAGCAAAAGTTCGATATGGCTAGCGTACTTACAAATTCGAGCGCCCAACATGATGGGTCGACGGCCGCCGGAAGAACGCATCGGTACATGAGGCTGAGCTTGCCATGCAAGCGACTGGCAAATGCACGAGTCGACCAAGCACGGCTCGATATCGCAGCGGGAATCCTTCCACCAGAAGTCCAGGATGGCGACGTACCACTGGGATGACACGAATATGGATGGCAATACCGCTCATCCACACAATTGGAACACGCTACATGTGTATACCCTTAATGTGATTTGGGACCTCCTTGGGTACGGCGGAAAGCGGCAAATCCAGGCAAAGCGCGGGTTCATTCATGCACGGGGCCGTTCTCTGCAACATGGATTTTGGTGTTCAATAACAGCAGGATTGGCGATAATGACTTGCTGCAATGTGTTGTCTGTCGACGCTTGGATGCTGTTCGTTCGTTTGGTGGACCCGATCAACACGGCCATGGTCGATTAGCGGAAGGGTTAGGAAGGCTATTACACATACTACACAAAGAAAGTGTGGAAGCGTGGCATCAAGTATTTCAAGAAACACGAAACAATGTGCAAAACAATATTGTGGAACGTCTGATATTTCGCACGTGTGTGCCGATGTCGCTTAACGCCCAACGACGACTAGATCTGGTGGTCCCAAGTCTTAATGTTTATCGAGACGTACAGCTATTTTGGACGTCGCCGTTGTCAGCCCAATCTCGAGGACAGGGCAGCCACGACCAGTGACAAGGAATTAAGGTGAAATGATACGTGCATTGGCTGAATACGAAAAAAGTAAATGTACCAAGAAATGCTGGAGACAGGGTTGAGCTCTTTCCAATGCTTAGGTTCTGAATTCTTCGCGCGATAGAGGGGGGCCAAAGCATTCGCCTTGTGACGGATCTTGCCCAGGAGCACACGAGAAGACTGAATACCAAGATTCGCCGGGGCATGAGCTTGGGATTGTGACATCGGTGGTGGGGTTTACCGGCAATCTCTTTACAATCAGCTGTGGCACGCGCTGTTTTGCGTGACGAAACTGACCTTCCCGAGGTACAGCTTGAACCTGCACCATTGATTGTTGATCTGATCGTGTAATCCGTTGTCCTCCTCCTGCTCCTCCTCCTCCTCCTCCTGACACTGCTTAGCCCAGTGCCAGGTCCATCGCTCTAGGCAATCGGGCGTAGGCCTGCGTGGAGTCGTGCGTTGGACTGGGGTAGAACAGGTCTGACAACATGGTTGCGGGAAGCCGTGCGGGAGGTGGAAAAACAAATCATCAATTTATCATTGGAGTCGGATGTTGGCACCGGTCTAGCCAATACCAATTTACGCAAACATATTTTCACCACCAATGGCTCGCGAGGGGGTGTCATATAATTATCCCGGCAAAGCAACCTAACAGCGATGTGTAGGAGCATATCTGGAAGCATCCCCCTTAAGATTCAGATGAGAATCCAGTTGTAGAGTTCTGCTGTTCTCGCAGTCGTAGTCGCATTCGCGATGACAGTCGCAGTGGCCTGCATTAGCCTCAGCCTCAGCCTCAGCCTGCCTCAGCATCAGCCTCAGCCTCAGCTTCAGCCTGCCTCAGCCTCAGCCTCAGCCTGCTCCTGCATCAGCCTCAGTCTGCCTGCAGCCTCGGCCTCAGCCTCAGCCTGCCTCAGCCTCAGCCTGCCTCAGCCTCAGCCTCAGCCTCAGCCTGCCTCAGCCTCAGCCTCAGCCTCAGCCTCAGCCTCAGCATCAGCCTGCCTCAGCCTCAGCCTCAGCCTGCCTCAGCCTCAGCCTGCATCAGCCTCAGCCTCAGCCTCAGCCTGCCTCAGCCAGCCTGCCTCAGCCTCAGCCTCAGCCTGCCTCAGCCTCAGCTCAGCCTCAGCCAGCCTCAGCCTCAGTCTGCCTTCAGCCTCGGCCTCAGCCTCAGCCTGCCTCAGCCTCAGCCTGCATCAGCCTCAGCCTCAGCCTCAGCCTCAGCCTCCTCAGCCTCAGCCTGCCTCAGCCTCAGCCTCAGCCTGCCTCTGCCTCAGCCTCAGCCTCAGCCTGCTTCAGCCTCAGCCTCAGTCTGCCTTCAGCCTCGGCCTCAGCCTCAGCCTGCCTCAGCCTGAGCCTGCCTCAGCCTCAGCCTCAGCCTGCCTCAGCATCAGCAGCCTCAGCCTCAGCCTGCCTGCCTCAGCCTCAGCCTCAGCCTGCTTCAGCCTCAGCCTCAGTCTGCCTTCAGCCTCGGCCTCAGCCTCGGCCTCAGCCTCAGCCTGCATCAGCCTCAGCCTCAGCCTCAGCCTGCTTCAGCCTCAGCCTCAGCCTGCCTCAGCCTCAGCCTCAGCCTGCTTCAGCCTCAGCCTCAGTCTGCCTTCAGCCTCGGCCTCAGCCTCAGCCAGCCTCAGCCTCAGCCTGCATCAGCCTCAGCCTCAGCCTCAGCCTGCCTCAGCATCAGCCTGCCTCAGCCTCAGCCTCAGCCTGCCTCAGCCTCAGCCTCAGCCTCGCTTCAGCCTCAGCCTCAGTCTGCTTCACCTCGGCCTCAGCCTCAGGCTGCCTCAGCCTCGGCCTGCATCAGCCTCAGCCTCAGCCTCAGCCTGCCTCAGCCTCAGCCTGCCTCAGCCGCAGCCTCAGCCTGCCTCTGCCTCAGCCTCAGCCTCAATCTGCCTCAGCCTCGGCTTCAGTCTCAGCCTGCCTCAGCCTCAGCCTGCATCAGCCTCAGCCTTAGCCTGCCTCAGCCTCAGCCTGCCTCAGCCTCAGCCTCAGCCTCAGCCTGCCTCAGCCTCAGCCTCAGCCTGCTTCAGCCTCAGCCTCAGTCTGCCTTCAGCCTCGGCCTCGGCCTCGGCCTGCCTCAGCCTCAGCCTGCATCAGCCTCAGCCTCAGCCTGCCTCAGCATCAGCCTGCCTCAGCCTCAGCCTCAGCCTGCCTCAGCCTCAGCCTCAGCCTCGGCCAGCTTCAGCCTCAGCCTCAATCTGCCTTCAGCCTCGGCTTCAGCTCAGCCTGCCTCAGCCTCAGCCTGCATCAGCCTCAGCCTCAGCCTCAGCCTGCCTCAGCCTCAGCCTGCATCAGCCTCAGCCTGCTTCAGCCTCAGCCTCAGCCTGCATCAGCCTCAGCCTGAGTCTGCCTTCAGCTTCGGCCTCAGCCTCAGCCTGCCTCAGCCTGCCTCAGCCTCAGCATCAGCCTGCCTCAGCATTCAAAATGTGGCCAGGGAATGGAATTCTGGGAACTCGAAGAACACGAAGTGGCCTACAGTTTGCTCCGGGCATTCAAAATCATACCCAGGAATGGAGTTCTGGGAAGTCCAAGAGCACGAAGTGGCCTACAGTTGGCTCCGGGCATCCAAAATGTGGCCCGGGAATGGAGTTCTGGGAACTCGAAGACCACGAAGTGGCCTACAGTTGGCTCCGGGCATCCAAAATGTACGCCGGGAATGGAGTTCTGGGAACTCGAAGACCACGAAGTGGCCTACAGTTGGCTCCGGGCATTCAGAATGTGGCCCGGGAATGGAGTTCTGGGAGGTCGAAGAATGGAATTCTGGGAGGTCGAAGAGCACGAAGTGTGTGACTGTTTGCGGAAAACGAGGTTCCCCGGCAATCCCCAACGGCCCCCCAACGGCCCCCCAACGGCTCCCCAACGGCTGCCCAGACCCCCCTGTGGAGTAATGTGCTGCTCTCTTTTTAGACCACTAGAAACCTATCAGTCTTCGCTGTTAGGTAAATACTACATACTAAAGATGCAGTCGTATTGCGAATCAGTGCACATCCGATCGTACTCTGGCTCCGTGTGCAAGAATGCTCTGGATCAGTATGCAACCCACTGGATCGCATGCGTGGCGCTGGGAGCATTGGGCCAGCGCGGTGGTGGCAGTGTATATGTATGTATGTATGTATGTATGTATGTATGTATGTATGTATGTATGTATGTATGTATGTATGTATGTATGTATGTATGTATGTATGTATGCATGCATGCATGCATGCATGCATGCATGCATGCATGCATGCATGCATGCATGCATGTATATATACATATTTACATATATATATATATATATGTCTAGATCTCTCTCTCTCTCTGGACCCCGCAGGAGGCGGGCTGAGGAAGGGGGCTGGCGTGAACCCGTGCCAGGGACGCCGGCCCCGCGGTGGCCTGGCCCCCCCACGGGCCGCCCCCGCAGGCGCTCTTGACGCCCACTCCACGCGCCTTTCTGGGTCTCGCTCGTGCACTTCTTGGCGCGAGGACAACCAGGGGCGGCCAAGAATAGAAATCTAACAAATCCCCATTTTTAACCACCCCGACACGCGAGGTCGTTCCGTGGGCGCGCCCAGAGGAGGAATCGAGCAGGGCAGGGCTGTTTAGTAAACGCCTAATGCCGTTCAGTAAACGCCTATTGTCCAGTCAGGGTGGTGTTTCCTCCCTTGGGAAAAGGGGGCTTCCAAGAGGGGGGGCGCAAATCATGGCCGGTGGCAAGTGCGCGGTCCAGGAGGGGGGGTGTCGGGGACGCATTGAAGTACGACGAGGCGCCGTGAAACCTGGAGAGACCGCATGGCCCACGCCATGAGGTCCCCCCCCCAGTCATCACCCCCCTCTTGGCCGCCCCCGAGACAAGCCTCAGGGGCCTACTGATCAGGGCCAATCCAAACCCGGGCCAGTCAGGCCTTGCAAGATCCTGCAGGATCCCAAACCAAATCGGGTCAGTGCAAGCCTGGCTTTCTGCAGGATCCTGTAAGATCTGGCGCTTTGGCTGACCCCGTTTGCATTGACCCCCGTCTCAAGGCTTCCAAAAGGCTCCTCGATGGCCATCGCCAGGAAAAAAACTTACGCGACCGAGCGATACCAAATGGCACCCACAAGCGGCCATCGCCAGCGCTCTGTTGGACCGCTCGACGCGCGACGCCGACGGACCGAGCACGATCTGACGACCTACCCGCGCCCGCGCTTCACGCCGCGCGGTGGCTCCTGCCGCGTCGTCGCCGTCGCCGCCGTCGTCGCCATCGTCGTCGTCGCCGCCGCCGCCGTCATCGTCGTCGTGCGTGACGAAAGGGGGGGGGAGGGTGCCGGAATGAAGATCGTCAGGGTGGTGGTGAGGGCGACGCGATCGCGGCGAGGGAGAGGATCGGGCCCGAGGCAAGCAGCAACAGCGGGGAAGGGGGAGCCCAGGCCTCCCTGGAGGGCCTCGCTTGCGCAGGGCCTCGCTCGGAGGCCTCCTGGGGGACTCCTGGAATTATGATGTTCCAGCCTGCTTTAGCCCTGATCACCAGAAAGAACTTCGAGCACCAAGAAAGTACCGAAACTAGGGGATTTTTCGCCCGTCGGGCCCTGGAAGGCGAGGCTCGCTCGACACTGTTTCGATCATTTTCTGGGTGCTGCTCGAAAGTATTTCTGGGATGTGGTCCTTAAGCACGAGGGGAGCGACATAATCCTGGAGCTCTCCCTGGGGCCTCCTGGAAAACTCTGGGGCCTCCCTGGGCCTCTCCAGGGAGCACCTCCCCTCGGGGGCGCGCAAACATGGACAGGCGATCGATGGCTTTGGCGCTCAGTCGCCAAATCCATGGATCGGGGGAGGCGCCCTCCCCAAAATGCGGCCGGTGCCGCCTCGTTTGGCGGCGGAGCCCTGCGCGATCCCCAACAAGGTAACGGGACCCGTCGCGAATCCACGCCCCCTTGATCCATCTTTGCGATCGCCCGACCCCATCGGGGCAGCAATGGTCTCCGCAGCGATGGCGACGCGCGCCACCGCCGCCAGCACGGCCGATCGGAGAGCGGGGCGAGCTGAGGCAGCGCGCCAGGTGTTCCGAGGTGCGTCCGGCCGTGGCCACGAGGGGGGGCCACCGAGGGCCAGCTGGCACTGCGTTCAGCTCGCCCCCCACGAGACGACGACGACGACGACTGCCATGGCGGCTGCTGGCCATCGCTCGGACGTCCATTCCCCGTGCTTTTGTCGGTTTCGTGCGTGGTTTTTGTCGCCAGATGATCGAGGGTGCTCCTCGATGGTCCTCGCCGAGGTGAGCGATGCCAAGGCTACCACTTCAGAAGAGAGAAGGGCCGTGAGCACGCCGTTTTTGAGGTCCGTTGGGTGTCCTGGACCTCCTTCCTTCCCTGCCGCGCGGGGCGCGCCAGGGGGCGGGGGCGCGCCAGGCGCCGATCTTAGAAGTCTGTGCGCAGCTCCGAAACTTTGTGCTCACAGTCGGCCTTGATTGGACAGGACATGCGAGAGGACACAAGACCCTTCCGAGGGCCACATCGCCATAGGAGTGTAAGAAAGTACGTGTCGCGAGGCACAGGACACAAAGGTACCCTTGATTTGGTAGGGTCGACCTACTAATCCGGGCCGACTGTATGCAACTTGGTGCTTGGTCCTGACAACGGCGGCGACGACCACCACCGCCGCGACGACGACGACCACCACGGGAACGGCGAATGAGGACCGAAAGGACCGAAAGGAGCGCCGAATCAGGAACGAGAGGGCTGAACAAGGAACGCTGACTAAGGATCGCTGACTGAGCCATCGTGCAAGTCATCGGCAACCATAAGGAACGCTGAATGAGGAACAAATATTTTTGTCTGCCCACAGCGGGCGAGGCCTCGAACATCCGGCCCGAAAACCAGCGCCCCTCTCGAGCCCAAGTGCCTTGACCGCGCTGCTGGACCCTGGCAGCGGCGGCGACGACCACCGCGGCGACGACGACGACCACCACCGCGGCGACAACTGCATTGCCCTGGCAGCGGCGGCGACGATGACGACCACCACCGCGGCGACTACTGCTTGGCTCTGGCAGCGGCGGCGACGTCGGACCACCACCGCCGCGACGACGACGACGACCACCACCACCACCAAAACTATGGGGGAAAAACAAGACTCGGGTACGTGGGACTCGGGGCTGGCCTGACGGGGCCATCATTTAAATAACGAGACCCATTCTGAGATTTGACGCGAACTCCCGCTGCAAACATCCCACGAAAGCCGGGCCGTCAAAATCCAGGACGCGCTCGCGAAACAACTTCGGCACACCTGAATTCTGGCTCACTCGAGCCTTACGTTTCCCCGACACTACCGCCACCACAGCGACCACTGCTCAGCCCTGGGAGAGCCCAGAATCGAATCGACAAGTCGGATCGGCGATCGAAATGAATCGGATCGGCGGAAATCGGCAGCAAAGTCGGGATAAGTCGAATCGACAGACATGTGCAGACTCCATTGAGGACTCGGCATCCACATCGGAATCCGAAGGCGAATCGAATCGGAATCGGAAGCCATCGAAATCGAATCGCAGCGAATCGGAGGAGTCGAAACGAGCCTGGAGGAAGAGGAGGAGGAGGAGGACGAGGAGGAGGAGGATGAGGATGAGGAGGAGGAGGAGGATGAGGAGGAGGAGGAGGAGGAGGAGGGGGAGGAGGAGGAGGAGGAGGGAGGGGAGTAGGGATGAGGAGGAGGAGGAGGAGGAGGGGAGGAGGAGGAGGAGGAGGAGGAGGAGGAGGAGGAGGAACGAGGAGGAGGAGGAGGAGGAAGAGGAGAAGGAGGAGGAGGAAAGGAGGGAAGAGAACGAGGAGGGAGGAGGAATCGAAATGAGCCCTGCAGCCCTGGCAGCCGCGGCGACGACCACCGCCGCCGCGACCGACGACGAGCACGACCCCTGCGGGACGCTGGTGGGCTGGGGCCCCAGGGACTCCTGCGCGGGCGGTGCGGCCGCGTCGCCCTGCGGACCCGCCTCGGCGTCCTCCTCCTCGTCCTGCCGGGAGGGCGGGGGAGGGGGCGTCTACCTCCTCCTCCCCTCGGTGTCCTCCTCCTCCTCCTCCGCCTCCTTCTCGGCGTCCTCCTCCCCCTCCTCCGCCTCCTTCTCGGCGTCCTGCTCCTCGGCCCCCTCCTCCCCCTCCTTCTCGGCGTCCTCCTCTGCGTCCACCTGCCCGCCCTCGCATGGCGAGGGCGGGGATGCAGACCAAATCGGGCACACGGGGACAACGCGGGAGTATCTTTGGGAGCGGCGGGTCAGGAGGATGCATCGGGCCTCGTGGCCGCTCCTGAGCGGTTGAGGAGGAGGAGGAGGAGGAGGAGGAGGAGGCGGTTGAGGAGGAGGAGGAGGAGGGTCATGAAGGGACAGCGAGGAGACGGGGGCAAGGAATAGAAGGACGGGGCAGGGGGCACGAGGACGAGAGGGAGGAGGGCGGGGAAAGGGGACATCTCCTGGAGCCGCACTCCCAATCTCAACACAACATGGCGCTTCGGGCCACACATCGTGCCGGCAAGTTTACGTTCCACGCTCGCTTGTTTGTATGAGGGACGAGGAGGAGGGGCGGGGAGAGAGGATGGAGAGGGGAGCGAGGAGGAGGAGAAAAGGAGGAAGAAAGGAAGAAAGAGAAGGAGGAAGAGGAGGAGGAAGAGGAGGAGGAGGAGGAGGAGCAGGAGGAGGCGGAGAGGGGGAGGATGAAGGAGGGATGATGGATGATGAGGGCAGAGGGAGTAGAGGAGGAGGAGGAGGAGGAGGAGGAGGAGGAGGAGGAGGAGGAGGAGGAGGAGGAGGAGGAGGAGGAGGAGGAGGAGGAGGAGAAGAAGGGACGAGAGTGAGCAGGGGTGCGGAGGGACGACGGACGAGACAGGCTGGATGTGGAGGTTGGAGATCAGAGATAATGAAACACCAAGAAAAGTAAGTTGCGGATGGGTCGGAATTACTTGCTAAAACGACGTGGACGGGATGTGGACGGGAAAAGAAACAAGCCAATGGGATTCTCATATTTTTAAATCCCCCTGTAACGTCCGTGCCGCCTCGTTCGGCGGCGGAGATCCGCGCTGTCCCAAGGAAGCGGGACCCGTCGCTAACCCACGCACCCTTGATCCATGTTTGCGATCGCCTGGGAAATGGGTACGGAAAAAATTGGTGGTAGTTACACAGTTCAACAATAGCTCGTGTTCATTCCGGACAGGATTCGCTGTGGCATCGCTGTTGTCCATCTGAAACAAAAACTCGCCTGCCCAACAGCCGCTGGTGTTGGGTTTGGACAGCACTTGCTGTTGCGCATCGTATCCGTTTTTGACAGGGGCCCAGGGACACACCAGTAAATGCACAAACCCCAAGACCCCCCATATTATCCATACATTCAGAATGTTTGTAACCCCCAACACTTCTCACCTTTTCCGCGCTCCCCTGGGAATCGAGGATCACTCTCACACACATATACATATTCATATATATATATATACATATAGGTATGTGTTGATGTGTGTGTGTGTGGTGTGTGCGTGTGTGTGTGTGTGTGTGTGTGTGTGTGTGTGTGTGTGTGCGTGCGTGTGTGTGCGTGCGTGCGCGCGTGTGTCTGTGCGTGCGTGCGTGCGTGCGTGCGTGCGTGCGTGCGTGCGTGCGTGCGTGCGTGCGTGTGTGTGTGTGTGTGTGTGTGTGTGTGTGTGTGTGTGTGTCTGGCCGCCGCCAGGGGGTGAGGGTAATGTGTCTGGCGCGGGCATACTAGCAATCGCAATCGCGCCTGTAATCCCACTAGCCCTGTAGGGCGAGGGCCCCCCCGATGATGTGATGATGGAGGCGCCCGTTGCGTAGGAGGACGATCCCTGGGCGGATGATCTGCCCCCGCAGCTCTGGCGGCGGCCGCCTGGGGCCATGCTGGGCAGATGCCCGAGGAAGGACCAGGGCGGTTCGGTGCTCATGGAGCTGCGTGACCTGCGCCCTTTTGGGTCAGAAGCCCTTTCGGGTGTTTCCTCTTCCAACCCCCTTCTTCCCCTTTGGGAAAGGCATTATCACAGTTCCCAATTCACAAACAGCCCCTCCCCCATGCGACTGGCAGCGAGAACCAAGAACAGTGACAGCGCCCCCCCGACATCCCAGTAAACAAAACAATACAAGACACACTTTGGGGCAACATCCTGGGTCATGCTCGTGTGCTCCACGAGCGCTTCGCAATGTTTTTTGACAAGGACG